GAAAACTAAAAACTGAAAAATAGTATCCCAAAAATTTACCATTAGTTAACAATTTGGCCTTCTGTGCTTATAAACTACATTTTAAACACACACTGGCATTTGAAATTCTCACTTTTGAAAGCTGCCAGGAATGTCACACAAGCTAACATAGTCTCAGTATACTAAGGAACCTGCTTGTTAACAATACTTGTATACATTTATGCAAATGGATACCAGGAAAAAAGAAGTCTGAGAGCTTCTAGAAATCGCCTACAATTTCTCATAACATCTATAGATACAAATTCAGCACTTTCTGGACATAAATGAAACGGTACCTGGAGCTGGAGGTGTATGCAAGATAACTTCTCTGCTCCAAGGGCTACAGATGGACCCTTTGTATCCTCGGACTCTGAAGGCATAGCTGCTGTTGTTATCAAGATCTGATATTATTTTGCTCTTGCTGCAAACTTCGATCTCCTGCCACGTTGCACTCTCCTCATCTTTATTAAGCTTACGATACTCAAGGACATATATATCAGCTGAGTCTGCTTTCCCAGGATATTCCCAACTGATCACAGCTTTGTTGTACATTTTACTCTGCTCTTCATTGATTTCTGGTACCTCTAGACCTGGAATGCCAGAAATTAAGGAGAAAGAAAAAAAACCCTAAGTTTAGATATATGTTGTTTTAGAATTAACCATATAAGCCATTTGTACAATGGATACTGCGATGAATTTAAAAAAAAGTCTGCCTCATGCAGTGAGGATGGTTCTGTTCACGCGCCAAAATAAATCCTTTATTTTCTGCGTTTACTTTGAAAGTTGTCAGTATTACTTATTTTTGCTGGCAAGCCACAAACCATACAAAACCCAGTCCTTTTCAGTCACGGAAAGACAAGCTTCTAGCAATACCAGGCAGGTATTACTCAACTGCAATATTTTGGAAGGCAACATAAACTGGCACTGAAGATGATGGCATCTTAGCTTATTTATCAAAGCTGAAGCTAGCATTGCTGATAGGTAACGCCTTGTGTATCACTGAGAAAGAGGAAACAACGCGAGTCAAAAGGCGCATGACAGAGTTATCTAACTGCAGCCCTGCATGATTCTTGCCTCTTTTTAGAGAGAGCCTTACAGGCCCCGAATCAAGAAAGACCTGCTGCTCTCGCACCTTACCATTGGAATAGAAGGACAAGTCACCAAGAACCTCTTCTTGCTTGGCTACATCCACCACAAAGTCTTGAAAAGAAGTTTCCGCTGCTGGCCTGAAGCTCTTCAAGGACTCAGTAGCTTTTTGGATTCTGAAAGCACAAGGATGAGGGAAGAGAGAAGAGGTAATTCATATGTATGCATTTCTTAAAATAAAAATGTTAGGTTTTACTTTAAAAGAAAAGTCTTATTTTCAGGTAGTTACTGAAATTTCCCAGGAATTTCTGTCTCACCAGACAGAGCTTAACCACAGAATTTAAATGCCTTTTGTACATCAATGTAAAGATAACGAACAGATAACAGTTCAGATGGCAGCATCTGAACTATTTGGGGCATTACGTTCAAAGAACAAAACAGACGTGAAGTGCTAATGGAGAACAACTATTAAGATCAAAGAGTTTAAAGCCAGAACAGAACTACAGATTAACTTGCAAATTCCTGATGCAATCTCTGAGCAAAGAAATGCATCAGTGAGCTGAATGGACTGCCCTTATACTGCAGTTCTGCTAAGCAAGGCTAGATGTTGTAGGAGAGAATCCCTTCTGTGTGCCATTTCTTAGCATGCACTGGAACATAGTAATTTCTACAAAACCCCACCTGGACCACCTATGAACCTCTGCAAATACAAGGTACTGCATGGAGAACTTTGCTATCAGATATCAGAAGAGTACGCTTGAACAGTGTTCCCGCACCTAAAATGGAACAGACTTAAAATACCTGACATGAAGTTGTTTTGCTGTTTGAACAAAACAAGACTGATCAGTTTCTTTGAGCACTTCTTGAGCATAACCCACAAGGCCATTATTTTCCAGAAGACCTTGATATTCCTCTATTTGGGTTTGTAGTTTTTCCAGCCTTAAGTTCTTAGATGCTTCAATTGCCCTGAGAGCTACTGATCTCTTCTCTTGCAGAACATCGAACAGTTTGTCAAAATTCTGAGATGCTTCTTCTTTAGCTCTCTCACCATTGCACTAGGAGGGAAGAAAATACATTTGAGAGAGATTCCACGGCCCTGGGGCATGAGTACAGAAGCATATTTAAGGTTTTTCAAAACATCATAGCGCTCTAGTCATCTGTTTGGCAGACAAGACTAATATTTTCAGTTTTTAACACCACAGTAAAGCTCATATGAGCAACACTGCACCCCAGCTAGTAAGCACTTACTACTTGAACAAATGAAGATTAAGAAAATATTCCTCTGATTACTTCTTGAATTATGCAGGACATTCCTCTGTCTAAACAGCTCATGTAGAATCACTTATAAAAGCAAGTCAACCTCTGAAGTCTTCATGTCTCCAAGAGCCGGGCGCTCTTCTAGCTTCCCTAATTATCCTGAATCAGGAGTCAAATCCATTTTCCCACATATGCCCTCAGAACAGCAGGCCCATCTCTGACTATGCCCTGCATCAGGAACCACAAAGCATAGGTATGGTCTGTATCAAGATATGGACAGGGCTAAGAGCTCCCACCATTTCTGTGCACAGAGTTTTTCAGCTTGGTGCGAATATGCTCCCCTGCTCTGGGCGTTCTACAGGGAGTTTTTGTGCTCGATTCTGATTTTATTGCAACAGCATCTCCAATTAAACAGAGGGTATAAATTGTGCAGTGCCATTAACACCCAGAGCTTTAACTCTAATCCGCTTCTCTTTGGTTAAGATATCACATAAGCCTTATTTCAATTACATTTACAGTAGCACCCAAAACTTCCCTTTCTGGACAGACTGCTTATGTTGCCCAAGTTTCCCTCACCATCAGGATTACGCCGTACAGGAGACAAGTGCGATTCAATACTAACACAAGCTACAGAAATTATTTTATTGACTAACTGACAAAAAGGATTTGAAACGCTTTACTGAGAACAGTGCAAGTCCCTGTTGCATGCCTTCAAGGACCATCCCCAAGCAATAAGCAAGTCATGCTTACCTCTGTTTCCTTCATCAGGAGACCCAGCTGAGAGATTTGACCTTTTACCTGGCTCTCCTTACTGATGAGGTATTCTATATCTTTTGAAAGCTTCTCCTGTTAAAATACAATAGCAAGCTGGCAGAACACCGATATCCCACTCAAACCAGTGCAGGTAAGTTGTCCGGCTAGGGCTCGGTTTGTCTAGTTATAAGACTGAAAAGCAGCTACTGGTTATGAAAGCCAACGCTGCAGAGACCTGTTGTTCAGTGATGGACGATGACTGTGCCAAGCAATCAGGCCCCTGTTTTGAGCAGGGCTAGGAGCAGAGGCTTCTAACGCCAACACGGAACAGCCTAAGTTGGCCCTCTCTTCCCCAGCCACAGGAACCATCCTCTCTTAGACTGAGCAACACGAGGCTTACGGCCATTACCGAAACTTCGGAAAACGCTTCCTCAGTTATTATTGACTCCTTCGCAATAAGACTTAGTAGCAAAATAAGTGGTTTGGAGCACTAATATTCTGAGTGCCTCTGCACTTCCCTACCTGCAAAAGGGTCAGCAGCAGTACAGGAATAGCCTGGTAAACAACAGGTGAGGAGGCCAAGGAGCACAAGGGAAGCAGGGTTGGGTTTTTTTGGTGGGGAAGAGAAGAGCGAGAAAAGGAAGAAGAGGAAGTAGCAGCAATCATTCTCTAATAAACAAAGCAATGCTTGCAAGTCTTCCCTATTCTACTATGCTTAGGGAATTAACAGACACAGGACTTCAGAAACATATAAAGTCCCAAAAGTTATTTCAGATTCAATTTTATCTGGAGTGGTTTTAAGGTGGTTCAAATGTCATGGAATATACAGTTGCTCAGACATATGCCAAATCACACTAATACACACATTACCAGATGTTGCACAAGAGCACACCTCATGACTAGTTCAGTGTCCTCTAAATACACATTCTGGCTTTCTGCCAGAGAGAGTTTGCCCTTACACCAGAAGCTCAGTACTCTTCCCCTTCTTAAGGCCAGATCAAACAATATTTACTTTTACCTTAAGGGTTTTGTAGGCCGTGCTCATGGTTGTTACTCTATGGTTTGCATGAGATCCACCCAGTTTACAAAGATGACAAACAGGCCTTCTGCAAATTTCACAGTACATGTTTACCCTCTCCATTTCATGTTCTGGGCACATCAAAATCTGAAAAGACAGCAGAGAGAATGCAGGTGTATTTCCAAAAACTGAGGTGCTCAACAAGCCATTAAAACAAACAAACAAACAATCCCACAGCAGTATCCAGGTCCCTCACTGGATTTTTATATTCCGTTTATCCGCCATCATTATATATTTCTGTGCAAGCAATATTCAAGGGATGAACATACACGGTTTCAGCGAGGTTTACATTGAGTAAAACTGTAGCAACGTCCACGTACACACCGCATGGCGCGCACGCTGCTACTGACCTTGCTGATCCCCGAGTTTGTTTGCATACCCCACGCTATCACAGTTAACTAGCTCCCTGGCACTGCTGCTCAGAGTTGTAAATGCAATACAGCAACACACCCCACCCTGTTAAACCAGCTGAAAGGGCTATGAACTACTTCCGAAAGCCAGGGTTGGCTTAATCCAGTAACGATCTAAACCTAAACTAGACTCAAATCAGCCACTTAGCCCATTGCTCTTGGAGCAGCAAATAAAACACAGCCTCCAACATCAGTCACAGTCAAATTAAAGAGAAGGAGCCTAATTCTTTTTTTTTTTTTGTCTGACTCCAATTACAAGTTGTTCATATCGAGTGCTATTTTCAATATCAGATTAAATGGGTTTTTTGGAAAAATCTGCTGTTCACTAAAAAAAAAAAAAATCACCTTTCAGAATTGAACAAGAGGGAATAATTGCTCAAAGAGAAAAATGCAGTTCAGCTCCAAGCTCAGATAACAGATAAACGCATCTCAAAGGAAAAAAAAAAAATCCATTGCCCCATTCCGCCTCATTCCACCCCATTCCAGAATACTGAAAGGCAGTGTTTGGGACCATCTACTCTACGCTATCACAGAAGAGCTCTTGAAAAAGGTTTTCAGCTGCAAGCCAAGGAGAAGAACGAGCAGCAGTACCATACAGGTCAAAACAGTCAAGCCGTTTTACCAAAAAAAAAAAAAAGACAGGAAAGAACAGAAAACCAGAAATTTGCTAGTAGCATAAACATGGACACACCAAGCTAAAAACGCAGGCCTTCCCTAAAACCAGCTCTCAGCCCCTAAGTGTTCCCTTAGGCTTCAATGAACAGGGTAAACAGATGAGTCTCACAAGCACCTTGGTACAGCTGGCTATCATTAGGCAGAACACAATAAACTATTCTGCTGCCATTGCCTACTGGATTATAGAAAGGAAGCTTTCCTGAAAGTCAGCCGTGCAAGTAGACACCTCCAAAAAACTGCAGTCGCTGTTAGTCCAGGGAAGTCATAATTCCACAGCACTGTCTAGCCACCTCAGTAGAAGCCATACATTTTTATTCACCTCCTCATGTGAACACGAATGACAAACTGCAGGCTAGAGACAGAAGAGGTCAGCAGATTATCTTGTCCAGTCCTCTCATATTCAGGAACAATCGGTCCAGTATGCGCCTCTCCCATCCCCAGCACACATGCCACAAAGTGCTCTCCAGTCTGGTTTTCAATTAATCAAAGTGGTGACTGGGAACATTGTGTAGGAGACTAACAAATACTCCAAGCATTCAATTCAGGTCTTAACAGCGCAGTGTAATGAAATACGCACTTTTTTCCTCATGTTAAGCTGAAACACTCCTCAAAAAGATCTCTATAAGACCACAGTAAAGCTCAGTTTGCTGTAGTTGGGAAGCTTTTATAAAAAGCAGTATCTGTAGCTGATGTATCTCTACTATGACTTTGCTGTTGTTGAAACAATACCTCTGTCTTCACATATAACTTTAAAAAGCCAGAGGTCCCATTAGCACTTGGTATAGCAAGGTTAGGATGATCAAAACTACTTTTCCCTATTTCACTCTGCTTCAACAGAATTTAACTACTGACTTTTGTATGTACCACATGTTGGTAAACTACAGGAAGATTAAGTTTAGATTTAAGAGCACACAAAGATTTGGTATTTTGAAATAGGCGCTATAGAAAAGTTTGTAGGGAGCTGTAGAGCATTTCAGATCAACAGCCGTGGGTAGAAGAGAGCATACACACTTTTAACACATTTTTATCCAATAAAGTGGCATTTTACACAGACAGATAGCTGTGTGCTAGCACATTTTAAAGTACTTCAAGCACGTGCTTGTTATTAACTGCAATGAACACGACAGACCCAGAAAGAACTCCACTAAGTGGATTACTGGATGCTTATTATATACTGGCTTACTAACTCTCGAGTCTCAAGTTTTTCCAGCCTCACCTACAAGAGAACATCAGTCAAGCGCTTCTCGCACATAGCATAACTTTAATTTAATTTTAGTATCTTAGCTTGAACACTTTATTAGAGGATACAAACATGAACCTAATTTTTCAAGCCTGAATTAGCAGTTGTGCCAGAGTTGAGCCTGCTTACTTGAGGGGAGAGAGTCTAGGATTAAAACCAAGAGGAGGCCCAAGTGGGAGCCTTCTCCAGAACTGAGCTCATTTCAAGTCAGCTCTGCAGAAATTTTAGCATTGATTGAAGACTTCAGTAGTCCTTACTTTCGAGAGATGTGATTTTTTTATTCATGAACAACACGAGCAGATTTTAACTCCAGAGCCCAGGTAAATCTTTACATCTATGTTCTAGTCTTCTGGGGGAGAAGGATCCATACAAAGTTTCCTGTAAAGTCAAGCCCACACCTATAAAATGCCTGAATTATTTCTAGTTCTAGAAGAGCTGAGGTCTAGTCAGCTGCACAAGAGGGTCCACTTTTGTATCAGCTTAAACGTCTGTTTTGGCTTACAACAAAGTTGGTTCATAGAGAAGCTGAAGAAGAGCGTAGTATTGTAAAACACTCACCATAAGAGGAGGCAACATGGAGCAAGAAGTTTCATAAACCCAAATCAAAACTCCCTGAACACCAGTACTTTGGGTATTTGTAGGACCTTCAATGGCACGGAGGTTGTTGGGCCAGTGCGTGCTCGGCTCTCCCTAATCCAGCGCTTATCTGCTGTGGGGCCAGACAAGAGCTCTCCTTGGGAGGAAGCCTGCGTACAGCTGACATACTTGCTTGCAGCAAACAGACTCTGGCTTCATGCTTAAAACCTTTGCTCATGCCTCATGCCTATATCCCCTCTAATAACAGACCTAAGCAGTGTGCTAGAAAAAGCTTCAGAGGACTGCTTCGTTACTGGGAGTACTTTGAATTGAGCTTGCTGCGTCCCCCTGCACCGGAACCACTCCCTGCACGGGACCAAGAGCTAGTATTACAGTAAGTAAGGCCAGTCCCCTCCAGAGAGCTCTAGCCCCAAGCCTTGCTGTCACAAACAAGTCCATGAAAATCAGCCCAAGGCTCTCTCCTCCTCACAGGCCACAGGGCATGCAGCAAACGCAGGGACATTAAGGCCTGCTGTGGTCTTTTGTTAGAGATGGCAGCTGTGACAATTGCCCCTCTCCCGTAACTTCAACTCAATAGAGCACAACCATGTTCTGCATCAGCTTAGCAGGAGAAACAAAGTTAACTAGTTTGCAGTCATTCTGTTTTCCCTGAATGCAGAAGCAGCATGAAAAGTAGGAAACTAGCCATTATGTTTTCTTCTTCTGCTACAGCTAAAAAAAATAAAATAAAATAATGGGGTGTAGCAACAGTGGAGCCTTGAACTCCACCTCCTGCTACTGGCAGATGCACAGAAGGAGAAAAGAAAAACGATGTTCGGCTCTCCATCAAGCTCAGGCAAAAAACATCTGAACCTGCATAAAGCTGGGGAGAGGAAGGTGTTTTCTCCGTTTACCACACACACATAGGTCCTGCTTTATCTGAGCTCTAGCGAAAAGCACTACAATTCTGGTTGTTCAAGATCGTTAAATCTTACAAAAGGACAACAAGCCACAAATAACACAATCCATCCCTCAAAGTAAAAAATCCCTTTTTCTAGCGTCTCCTTCAGATACGTTTTCTCTGGACTTTTCAGCTCCAACTAACCTCAGCATCAACAAGAACAAAAGCTGTTCGCTCAATAAATAATAGCACAAGTCAGAAAAGCAACAACGACCCTAAAAAGCAACTACCACTGCACAGATGTGTCTGCAAGCTATATCCAAATGCTGCACTATTATTAAGATATACACTTACCTTGGGTCTGAAGTTGGTGGTTGGTCCTACGTACTCATGCTGAGCTTTTACAGTTCCCCAAGGATGGTATACTTTGAAACATTCATTGCAATAGCTGGCACTGCAGTCCATGCAGCTCTTTGTGGATTCTTGAGCTGGAGGTTTGCAGAAATCGCACATAATAGCTGTGGCTGCCCTGGCTGCCTGCCTATATCTTTCCACAATGGTTTCCAAAGTAAGGTTTCGAAATAAGCCGCTGATGCCACGTTCTCCAAGATCAATATCATGCCGACAGCCAGGACAAGGAAACATAGTCGTTCTAGGAGTCAGTGAATTGCGTTTTCTGCCTGTATAGACAGCAAATCCTGGTTTAGTAGGAGCATAAACAGAAGAGTTTTAGACGCTTTAGGGACACAGGAATTTATGAACCAATCCCGAACTATTTTAGCACATCATCCAAACCAATACAATACTAACTCATATGCATTCTGCCAAGCCAAAGAGAACAGATTTGCTGTTACAAGGCACTGTAACGTTTGAGTACAGAGACATTACAAACTACTCTAAGACTTAATTCCACGTTAAGATGAATTTAACTGTTCCAATTCTATCATCTGCTTCCTTCCTGCAGTTTTGTTTCTTGCAACAACGCTGTGCCAACATCGCTACTCTTTTTCTTCCAAGCAGGCCCTGCATTACCAGGCATTGGTAAAAAAAAAAAAAAAAAAAAAAAAAATTGCTCTTCTGTTCTGAAGATCTCACCATCTCTGCGCAAGGTGTGGAAGAGCATGGCCTAAACTTATGGCGAGTCACTTGGGACCAGTTACTTTAACTAGTCTGAGGGTTTACACAGGAACAAACTGTTTTCTTTCAGAAGCCTAAAACACTCCTATGACAATTACATAGCACGTACAGCTTCAAAAAGCACTCCCTTAAGAGAACATTCTGGAGATCCTGGCCTAGTTTTGGATGCATTCAAGTTGCAGCCATTTTTAAACACTAAACATGTACTTTCCAGAAATCGTTTAGTATTAGGCTGCCTGGCTGCCCAGATACACAGTCATGGCTTGGTACCATGTTCAAGCGAAGGAGGCTTATTCTCAGAGTGAGAATAAATAGTTATTCCCCGATGAATATAGCCAATTTTGAGGTCCTAGAAGTTTGCTTTGGCTGACACAAACTTATCTTGCTTTTCCCAAGAGGAGTCATAAAAACAGCCAGCATGAGAACTAGGTATTACCACTATGAAATGCCAACCAAATCAGTTAGTCAAAACATGCTGCAGCTGACTTGGCCTTGATAAAGAACTGCTAACTAAACCTGTACACAAATCAAAGGGAACCTCAACACTGAGATGAGTGAATTTGAGAGAATCCCTTACCCTGAGGCAGGGAACAAGGGATCTGCCTGATTAAACAGAGCAGGCCTATCGCTTTTTGTTTTACAAGGGCATTGCAGAGAGGTTACGTTCCCACCAAACAGCTACATGAAACTTTCTCCTCCTCTCCAAAATAAGCCTCTCCAAGGCTCAAGTAAAGCTGCAAGCTTCAAAAGCCCTTGGGACTTGTTCTGAAATGGCTGCTGTAGACCCAAAAGCTCTTTGCTGCTCAACGTCCTCAAAGCTACGGAAGAGGGAGTGCATCCCCCATCTCATTCATGAACTCAAGGGGAACAACAAAGAGGGGTCATTCCGGTAATTCTGAAGCAGTCTAAGCCAGCATTTATGCCTAATATGTATCCTCTCAGTTCCCCACGCAAAGAAACAAAAAAGCATCCTCCAACCGGAGCACAGTTTCAAAATCCCTTTGAGATGAGTGCATGCCACTACAACTAATGAATCTGTAAACGGAGGTGTGACTTAAGAGTGCATACAACCAAATTCTTACCGTGCTGAAATGGGTTCTTAATTTTAACAACAGGAAATTGGTTCTTATCTGTATTTAGTGAGCTCCTCTCCAAAAAAAAAAAAAAAATGAAGCATCAACATTTCTGAAGCGTCCTTGGACATTAGCCAGAAAGACACTTGCCTCATGCTTTTCTTCTATGGTTGCTACAACCAACCCTTTAAAGCCTCCCTTCCTATCATGCACTTCTCAGCCTCTTTAAAAACACTCCCATAAGGAACTCATTCCTTTACAAATCTTTGAAACGTGCCCCATGATAGTTATGCATGATTGTCAGAAAAAAAAGCCTGGCTAAAAAAGCCAGAACCAGAGCAGGAATAAGTATGTACAAGCTGATAGTCTGAAATTCAGCTGGTCTTTCACCTTTCTGCAGGTCCTGAGCAGAACAATTAGATCATATTTACAGAATGCAGTAGTAGTAGCCCAAGTCAAAAGTATATAACTCTCTGGCTAAGGGAAGCAGAGATTTTTTTATTTTTTGGGTACTTGCTTGAAGTCAATTAATAACCCAAACTGCACATCCTGTAATACCTGTAACTTGGCATATACAGCAACACACACATGCAATGCACAGGAACAGCAGTGAAACACAAACCTTATTTAAAATGTATGCTCCAAGCTAGCACTCTGCACAGAATGGAGAGACCTTCTGCACAGGCTTCTACAATGGCCTGAGCGGAAGGATGATTTTGCATGCAGTATCATGCAGTCAGTAGCTATAAGAAGGGGATGGGGAATACTTACATCTCCTATAACTAGGAAAATAATGATACAGTGTTGTATGTACGAAACTGCCTACAAGCAGTTCACTATAGCAGAAAGCAAGCAGTGACAAAGCAAGATAACAAGGAAAAATATGGTACAGTGGTCAAGTTTAAAAATACAGTCTGAAATTCTTATCCAGTAGCATGCTTTTGAAGTCTGGCCCAAGAGGCTCAAATGTGGAATTGGTGTTTGTTTAACTCAAAGATGAGTTTAGCTGCAATCGAATTGAGGCCTTTCATTCTGCCAGTCATGGAATAAAACAAGACTGTAGTGATGAGCCATGCTCTACATATACTGGTGACACTTTGCTTACAGAACTCAATCCAACACCCAGAAGTCCTGCATGTCTTAAGATGTCTCATCCCTTTTCACCAAATAGTACTCTAAGAGCTTAGTTTTTTCTGTTTCAAAACCCGGAAGCGTACTTCCTAAGCGTCTCAGCATCCTCTGCCAATTTAAGACTTAAAGCATGGAAACATTCTCCTTTTGCCTAGTGAGAATGTTAAAATACTAATATGCAGTAAGAATTAAGTCTGCTTATTGTTTATCGGATTTATAAGCTCATATTTTGAAAAGCAAACACTGCGTTGAAGTGAGAGATGACTTTTGAGCACTGTCTTTTCTATTCTTATCTGGCTTTCAATTTGCTGAATTTGAATTTTGCACATACGCAAAAGACAAAAAAGCATTTCAAGTAGCAAAAAATTTGGATTCTGCAAGACATATTAAATGTTCAGAGAAACTCAGATCCTCCCCAGATTCTGTTTTATACCTTGCCAATCCAGTTTCCAACAAACAAGTATATATTTAGTGAAACACTAGGAATTATCACAAAAATTTTTCCATTGTGGGTCGTAAACAGAACACTCCCCTTTCAGTGAAAACCCAGATCGGTAACTGGAGAACATACTACTGATTATCATTGACTCAGTAAAAATAGATATCTAAGTTTGTCCACGAAATTTAAAAAAAAAAAAAAAACACACAATATTATTGTTTTCTCACTGCGACTCCAAATCCACAAATATTAGGATACATACAGGTTCTAAAGACTGTAGCCAAAGAGCACTCCTAAGTCGTACGCATCTTATAAATACCCTATTTAAACATCCTTTTCCCACAGGGAGATACTAACACTTAAAATGTGGAAAAGTCACCCAACCTACAGCTGTGGGTTTGCAAAGGGATAAGACACCTTAAAGATAAAATTGTGTTTTCCATGCAAACAGTATCACCAGCATTCCGTGATTATGGAAGACATGAATGCTAATTTTGTGAAAGTTTAAAAAAAACCCAAAAGTTTTTAAAAGTCAACTGGATTCTGATGCATTAAAAAAAAAAAAAAAAGAAAGAAAAAGAAAAGTAAGTGTATACTGCCACTCCCAAACTCATTTAATGCCTGTGAACAGATCTTTAGGAAGAAAGAAAAAAAAAAAAAAGGGGAGACAAATTTATAGTTAAAAAATAATTTTCAGCTACTTCAAAAATCTACCCCAAGTCATGGGTGTTTTCTGTGACCAGAGCAGATAAAAACAGCTTTAAGTGTCCAATACTTTGTTTGTTTATGATACTTCTGTTCTCCAACTGAGGCAATTTGACTTCCACTTCCTATTAGTTGCTTTGTTCTTCATGGGGAGTGTGAAATTCAGATTTGTGGTGAGTTCAGCTCATTCCTTTCTTGAAGGATACAGTGATTTTATGGACTGCTCATGTGCCTGCCAATATTATGCCAACAGGAAGGTTTGGTTTTCCCATTTTTGACAGAGCATCACACCTACAAAGAAACATTTCTGGTAACATCTGAGCACCAGCCCAAAACAGTGGCAGAGATGCTCATGCTAGCATCTCTGCCAGTGTTTCCGGAATTAAATCTATTTAAAACAAAGACACATTGGTTATCCTTCAACTTGACAGTGTCACTCAGCATGCTAACCATGAGAAAAAAGTGTCACTTTTAAGTATTTAGTTTTCCCTCCCACATGCATGTGCCATACTAAATTGCCAGATCCAGACCTACCCGGTCAGATCGGCAAGGTGTGAATTTCAGTCCTTCTCTTTTTACTCAGATATAATTAAGGGGGCGCAGATCCAATGAAGAACTGGTATGACCTTCCACTTAAAAGTGATATTGCTGACTATGACCTCTAAGTGTTACGAAGATCAATATAACAACTACATTTCACTAGTAGTAAGACAGCAGTTTTACTGAAACTTGATTATGTAACTCTTGAAAATTAAAAAGCGAGAGGGTTGGGTTTTTTTGTTTTAAAGGGAAGAGATAGCTGGTCTATTTGCACCTTTTAAAGTATGTTTAGTCATGCACACACACATTTAAAAAAAAAAAACCCTTTACTTAATTCTAGTCCAGTTGACCTTTAAGTCAATCGTAGAACAGAATGAAAAGCTTTCCTAATAGAAGTCTTCTGCACCTTTGCTCACTGCAAAAGCCGTTTTGTGGACTTGACCACTGACAAAAAAAACTATATGCTAACCAACGATATTTAACTCGAGATCTAAACACTATACTATCTAGAGCCATATAAGAAGTGAAGCATTTCTACCTCTCCACCCAAAAGACCTCCTCTGCGAGGCTGCAAACAATGAACAGAAAGCTGTTTTTAGAGATTGAAAAATGAGATATACCATTGGTTTACAATGGCTCAGAT